TAGGGTGAATACATCTCATTACAATGATTTACTGGTAGTCTCGAAACCCTACTTTCTTACGAATAGTTTCAGTTTGTCGTTGCTTATCAGTTTTGCCTTTTTTGTGTTGCTTTTTCTATTGTTTTCAGTATTTTCCTTCTAACCTTTTTTCATCATTGGCTAATTTCAAATGACTGTGAATCTCGTTTAGGTAGAATATTCACTGTCATTCGATCGGTTTGACAGTTGATGCCATTTTAACTATCCACGATGAACTGAGGAGATGACTCTGCGAGAGAACTTCAAGTTTTCACATGCATATAAACGAATGTCTACGCGTAGATTAGCCAAAGGCATTAAAAACAAGATGGTGTAGCCTCTATTTCTATTTCTCTACAGAAGTGATTTGACTTCATTTTCGCAATTGGGCCATGTTTTCAGAGCGATCTAGAATGACGAATCTGGTCAGAATTCCTCTGCCATAGTGTTTAGTATCATTTTCAGCGTCCCACCGTGGACTGTGGAATGTACCAAGTCCACGGTTAGACGCTGTAAATTGTCATAGTTAACTTCAGAGTAGTTATGTTCGTCCAGGTTGCCTTGACAACACGATCAAGTTGCCAGAACCCGGTCAAATCATTTCCATCTGGCTATAGTCCTGGATAAGCTTGAACATGCAGTTTTTATGTTACTCCATTTTGTCAACTTTGTTGATCCGCTCAACGACAATTTGATAGAACTTGCTACTCGAATAGCAGATTAGACGGCACCATATGGCCCAGAAGTAGCTACACTCCTCGGTAAATGATCATGTTCGAGCCTTTTTGAGATCATTTACAGCTTGGGCTTAATCGCATATTCGGCTGGACCTGGCTAAAGTCTCGACCAGGCTCAGTCGTCATCATCACCGAAGTGGAAAACCGATCTATAACGTCCATGCTGAGAAGCAAACACTTAGATTTGGTATTGCAGTGAGCAGGAGCTTCAAGGCAAGACGATCTGCTCCCTGAATTTTAGCAGCAACAAGTCGTTCAACTGAGTTTTGGGTAAAATCAGAACCTGATAGTTAATGCATTTTACTCAAGCAAAAATTTAGTCATCTGAGGTTGACTTTTCCCATTTCAATATAAATGAGCCTCACGATGCCATTGGCTTTGCATTGTCTTGTCAGCTCAACTGCT